GGCGGGCGCTTTGGACGCCTAGGCACCCAAAGCGGTCGATTTTCCAAAGCGGAGGGGGAGCGCTTCGACGCCTAGGCGTCGCCTTAAGGACGCTTTAAAAACATAGGAACTATATAAATGTGTATATGCTAAAATAATAATAATAATTGTTTTCAATGTTCTGTATGACCTTTCCCCCCATGAGCATCTTATTCTGAAAGATTAGCATATCATGCCTTTGAAAGGTATCATGTTTGGTTTTCCATCCTTACCAAAATTTATGCGTCTGAGCATGCCAGCGACAATCTCTGCCATTTAACTACTCTGTTGCACATTCAGATTCTTGATTACCTCGGCAAGTCTTCTGATAGTGATCCTCCTTCACCTGTGGAGCATTTGTCTTGTAGATCTAGGTAAGCATTTGTCTGATAGTGATCCTCCTTCACCTTTGTTTTGCACATTTTATGTTTAATTAGCCTGATACCTTTTTATCTTGTGTTTATTCCAGCCGGAAAACGTTGATATATCTAGTTCTCACTCTTGGCCATATGTATCCAGATTATGATTTCAGGTAATTTTTGTGTTACATGGAGTGTGTTCTGTATAGTCTGGGAGGAAGGATAATGGGTAATGTCATACTCAGCTTTTTTTGGGCGATATGGCAACCCGCTATTGTCCTTTCCAACCAGCCTGAGGGGGTGTTGTCAAATGGCATGACAAACGGATTAATATTCGTTGCTCTTTTGAGCTGAGAGTTCAATTCTCTCCATTTCCCTTGAACATGTTGGTATTTTACAGAGCCGTACCTTTCTTAAGGTCTCCTTACTGTTATGCGACACTTGCATGATGGGATGACCTTCAGATTAAATTTAACATCCTCTTTGTCAACATCTGTTTCGCTTAGCAGTGCTGTTCGGGCACACCTATTCTTCAAAGAAGAAGACATGGAAAGTTTCAAGCAGATGCTAGACAACTACTTATCGGAGGCTTCTAGGGTAATGCTTTCACGCGTTCCATGAATTTTACTCTTGGTCGATAAACATGTTTGTAAACATACACAAATAAGTTATGGAATGTAAAAGTGAAATTTATAGTTGCAACTATGTTTTCACTCAACTGCTCAACTTACAAATGATACTGAGACTGTTTTCCACCCACCTGTTCTATATGCTTAACCTGAATCGGACTATTGTTCAGCTCTGGGCAGCAAGAAATGAAGGCAGTTCACTTCTGGACAGTATGACTAAAGCTATTGATGAGGTGTGCATCAGTAAATGCTTAGTTCAGAAAAGTCAGCAGTCCTGTATTCTACGTTTACACATTATTTTGTAACAGGTTATCAAAATCAGGGAGTGTGACATCTACAGCTACAACCCAGACTCTGACGGAGACCCATTTCTAGAGAAAGGGGCCATGTAGGGCAATCTTATCCACGGAAACCATGCTTGAATTGAACTTAAAAGCATTTTGAAGGATACTCTAATGTGTAAATGGCATTCTGTTTTGCTTGCAGATGGTCGGTCAACTTTTTCTTCTACAACCGGAAGCTAAAGCGAGTAGTGAGCTTTCGCTGCTGCTGTACTAGGTATGTGCACGCCTTTTTCTTATGAAGAACACTGTATGAGGAGTTCTGAAACTACATCAGTCACTGATAAGTTGCTGTACCACCACAGCAAATTTGCAGGAGATGACTTCCTTGCTGGTGCACTCTCAGATGGCGAGGAGGAAGATGCGTTGATCGACATGGACATATGACTGACTCGGTTCGGCTAGGAACATGACCAACCAACCAGTGTGACCTGTTTGTGTAATATACAGCTCGTATGGCGACAGTTCCCAGTAGGAAACTACGTATGGCGGCAGTTCCCTCTAGGAACTTTTGTAGCTTGACTTTGTCTGTCTGTTTGGAGAGCATACACTTTTGGCCTCTGTTATTATCGTCCATGTTTGTAGATACAAGATTTAACTTCAGTCTGCCAAATTTGAACTGGCATAGTTTGTCCCTTGAATTTGAACCATTCTCTGTACTTATCCAGTTGCTATGTGGTTGCTGACATGCTCAGATCAACAGGGTTAAGAAGTGTTCAGAAAGCTGGGGGACTTAAAGTAGTCATGGATTCATACTGGACCTCGGAAGTGCTTCTATTGCTTTAAGAGGAAAATAAGCCATACCACATTTGTGGTGGTTAGGGTTTAACCCAATTACATTTGTTACTTATTCAAAGGAAGGATTGACCCATTTGATCAGCCAATGAATAGTAGGGACAGTGATATCTCCTTGTCGTTGTGGAGTCAGTTTTCCGTCAATGACGGCTTCGGGCTCCATTCTGATGTGGCCATGAGCATATACCACTAGGGCGAACTTTGCAATCATGGCGAAGTAGGAGCTTGTATGAAGTATTGTCATTTTTTCACCGTGACTCTAAATGCGCCCTGGGATTTAGAGTGAAGTAGGTGACGGTGATTACTTGATGAAGTGTGATATAAGACTAATCTTGAGATAAACCATATCACCCTTTGAAACTCCTTTTCTTTTTTCCGTTTCTTGTTAGCAAAGTATTTCTTTCTCGTTTGGGCTTTGAGAAAGTTTGCCTTGCTGAGTTGCATAGCTATTTCTAGGTTGTGCAGGAGATCAACGGAGGCACCAAGGATGAAATCTAGTACATTGGATTCATAAATTTGAGGAGGTGGAAAGACAAAGTGCCTGAAAAGGTGTATTTTCAGATACGTGTGGAGAGTGGTGCTATACCAATAGCACCATTCAGCCAGAGCAAGCCATGGGTGCTATTTCTTGAGTTGTTAAAAGGCCATGTATCTCAAACATGTTTTTGAGCATCGGTTCATTATCTCTGCTTAACCATCGGTTTGGGGGATGCTATGAAGTATTGACATGAAGTTTCACTCCCAGAGATCTAAAGTGTCGCTACCAAAGAGTACTTGTAAGGCTTTTATCTCTGAGTATAAAAAAACAAGTTGGGTCATTCAATATGATCGTTCTTCTAACATCATACTCTCAAAATTGTCGACATCCTTGTTACACTTAACTTATGCCTATGATCAAGAAAACATAATCATCATGTAACAATTGAGCTAGTCCTAGAGGAGAGATTAGGAATTAGATTTTACCATTTATAACTCTACCCATGCTTATGAGCTTTCCTCTGAATCACATATTCAAGAACCATAGCAGTTATAACTTATAACATAGAGTATAAACATCTAATTATAAGCGTAGAAATATATAATACAATTATTATTACTTCTAGGGCATATTTCCAACAGTTTGATGTAAGACAAATTCTTTAGTAGCATGATCTTGCACCTTTTAGTCGGGCAGTGGAGAGAAGTGATCAAGTTCAATTGATATCTTTCAATGACCAAAGAATATGGAATAATTTATTGTTTTATTCCCCGAATGTGATCTATCTATTTTTTTTTGCAATACATATAACGTAATTATATGACGAAAGTTGGATCAGGCATTGTGAGAGATTGTTTTTCCTCCCTGTTGTCTAGCTCTGATAGCGCCTAGTTACCTCAAAGATCCCCTTTTTAGGGGAGATCCCCTTTTAATTTATTGATATGCCTACTAAAAAAGTATTGACATACCTATTTACTCCAAATTATCTCTGATCACTAAAAAGCTAACCTTGACCCTCAGATTTGAGGGTCAAGAACAATTTTTCCAGACTTATAACATCTTTTGGGTCATCACTTGATCAATGCATAGAGAAAAACTAAGTCCCTTCAATCTTGTTGTCATGAATCTCAATACCTAGTATGGAGGCCTAGATTCGCTTACACCTCTTTCCCATACACGATCGCAAGAGTCAAGATTCTAGAGAACCGCTATCTCGATCACACAGTGGATGCAAGGAAGGGGGTGGAGAAGACCTAGAGGTGGCACAAGCCTTGGAGTTTTTGTGCATGTGTGTCTTGTTGGGGAACGTAGCAATAATTCAAAAAATTTCGTACGTGTCACCAAGATCAATCTAGGAGATGCTAGCAACGAGAGAGAGGGAGTGCATCTTCATACCCTTGAAGATCTCTAAGCGGAAGCGTTGCAAGAACGCGGTTGGTGGAGTCGTACACGCAGCTATTCAGACCGCGGTCGATTCCGATCTAAGCGCCGAACAACGGCGCCTCCGCGTACAACACACGTACAGCCCGGGGACGTCTCCTCCTTCTTGATCCAGCAAGGGGAGAGGAGAAGTTGAGGGAGAACTCCGACAGCACGACGGCGTGGTGGTAATGGAGCTCGTGGTTCTCAGGCAGAGCTTCGCTAAGCGTGATGGAGGAGGAGGAGGTGTTGGAGAGGGGGAGGGCTGCACCAGGGGAAGGGTGCGGCTGCCCTCCCACCCCCACTATATATAGGGGCAAGGGAGAGGCCCCCCCTAGATGCATCTAGAGGGGGGGGGGTGGCGGCCAAGGGGAGGCTTGCCCCCCAAGCTAGGTGGGGGACGCCCCCTCTAGGGTTTCCCCCAACCCTAGGCGCATGTGCCCTAGGGAGGAGTTGGCGCCCAGCCCACCTAGGGGCTGGTTCCCCTCTATATTGAGCCCATAGGGCCCTCCAGGGCAGGTGGACCCTCTCGGTGGATCCCCGGAACCCCTTCGGTGGTCCCGGTACAATACCGGTAACCCCCGAACACTTCCGGCGACCGAATAAGGACTTTCCATATATAAATCTTCATCTTCGGACCATTCCGAAACTCCTTGTGACGTCCGGGGTCTCATCTGGGACTCCGAACAACCTTCGGTAACCACATACTATTTCCCATAACAACGCTAGCGTCACCGAACCTTAAGTGTGTAGACCCTACGGGTTTGGAAACCATGCAGACATGACCGAGACATCTCTCCGACCAATAACCAATAGTGGGATCTGGATACCCATGTTGGCTCCCACATGTTCCACGATGATCTCATCGGATGAACCACAATGTCGGGGATTCAATCAATTCTGTATACAATTCCCTTTGTCCATCAGTATGTTACTTGGCTGAGATTCGATCGTCGGTATCTCTATACCTCATTCAATCTCGTTATCGGCAAGTCTCTTTACTCGTTCCATAACGCAAGATCCCATGGCTAACTCCTTAGTCACATTGAGCTCGTTATGATGATGCATTACCGAGTGGGCCCAAAGATACCTCTCCGTCATACGGAGTGACAAATCCTAGTCTCGATTCGTGCCAACCCAACAGATACTTTCGGAGATACATGTAGTGCACCTTTATAGCCACCCAATTACGTTGTGACATTTGGTACACCCAAAGCATTCCTACGGTATCTGGGAGTTGCAAAATCTCATGGTCTAAGGAAATGATACTTGACATTAGAAAAGCTTTAGCAAACGAACTACACGATCTTGTGCTACGCTTAGGATTGGGTCTTCTCCATCACATCATTCTCCTAATGATGTGATCCCGTTATCAATGACATCCAATATCCATGGTCAGGAAACCATGACCATCTATTGATCAACGAGCTAGTCAACTAGAGGCTTACAAGGGACATATTACGATCTATGTATTCACACATATATTATGGTTTCCGGTTAATACAATTATAGCATGAACAACAGACAATTATCATGAACACGGTAATATAATAATAACCACTTTATTATTGCCTCTAGGGCATATTTCCAACAATCTCTCACTTGCACTAGAGTCAATAATCTAGTTACATTGTGATGAATCGAACACCCATAGAGTTCTGGTGTTGATCATGTTTTGCTCACGAAAGAGGTTTAGTCAACGGATCTGTGACATTCAGATCCGTATGCACTTTACATATATCTATGTCTCCATCCTGAATATATTCATGAATAGAGTTGAAGCGACGCTTGATATGCCTGGTCTTCTTGTGAAACCTGGGCTCCTTGGCAAGGGCAATAGCTCCAGTGTTGTCACAGAAGAGAGTCATCGGGCCCGACGCATTGGGAATAACTCCTAGGTCGGTGATGAAATCCTTCATCTAGACTGCTTCCTGTGCTGCCTCCGAGGCTGCTATGTACTCCGCTTCGCATGTAGATCCCGCCACGACGCTTTGCTTGCAACTGCACCAGCTAACTGCCCCACCATTCAAAATGTACATGTATCCGGTTTGTGACTTGGAGTCATCCAGATCTGTGTCGAAGCTAGCATCGACGTAACCCTTTACAACGAGCTCTTCGTCACCTCCATAAACGAGAAACATATCCTTAGTCCTTTTAGGTACTTTAGGATATTCTTGACTGCTGTCCAGTGTTCCATGCTGGGATTACTTTGGTACCTCCCTACTAAACTTACTGCAAGGTTCACATCAGGTCTGGTACACAACATGGTATACATAATAGACCCTATGGCTGAGGCATAGGGGATGACACTCATCTTTTCTCTATCTTCTGCCAAGGTCGGGCATTGAGCCGTGCTCAATTTCACACCTTGCAATACAGGCAAGAACCCCTTCTTGGACTGATCCATATTGAACTTCTTCAATATCTTGTCAAGGTATGTGCTTTGTGAAAGACCAATGAGGCGTCTCGATCTATCTCTATAGATCTTGATGCCTAATATGTAAGCAGCTTCTCCAAGGTCCTTCATTGAAAAAGACTTATTCAAGTAGGCCTTTATGCTTTCCAAAAAATTTATATCATTTCCCATCAATAGTATGTCATCCACATATAATATGAGAAATGCTACAGAGCTCCCACTTAGTTTCTTGTAAACACAGGCTTCTCCATAAGTCTGCGTAAACCCAAACGCTTTGAT